GCAATAGTTGCAAATCCAAATTTAGAGTTTAGCAAAGACAACTGTGCCTTTTAAGACAAGTCATTTTGCAAAACCTTTATAATCAGTGGCTAAATTTATATATCCTGTTACCTCCAGCCTTTGCAACTGGTCCTTGCCCAGCAAATCCCGTACTTCCTCGTTGTAAATCTCCAGGTATGAAACACGAACTAAAAACCTGTCGAAGACAAACATAGAAATAAATTACATTTTAAAAAGGCTGATGCTGGATTGTACCCATTTGAAACCTTTCAAAAAGCCCTGTGTACATAAATGCTTTCGCTTTGCTCCCACAATCTCAATGAGGAAGAAATAAAGCTGGCCCATAACAAGAATGTATTGTCACTGTATATTTAGTAGGATTTAATAAGTATGTGGGAAAAATCTTTACTTCTCCTGAGCTCATCAAGACAATGACATGTTTAACTATAACAAGCAAGTAGGATAAATTATGTTCAGAACTTAGCAACAGGAAAGCTTTATGTTTATGCTTTACTTACACAACACGACTGTTCAAAACAAAACTGTCACATACTTTACAACTTTAAGTGCAGTTACGAGAAATAGATTCAATTCCACGGTATTGGTTTGTAAAACTTGCCAGCCACTTAGTTGTGTCATATTTCTAAAATGACTGTCAAAGCTGTTAATCTACCAGTGAAAAACTCTTGTCTTTATCAGCTGCAATCTAAAGAGGGTAGACCACAATAAGCATATGAGATGTTCACCTATGTCAAAAAAAATCCTAGCTCAGTTCAATCATGTAGTTTGTGTGAACCAGTGTTCACAAGAAAAGGCATCAATGCCTATCCTAGTTTCTGCAAGCAACATTTCCTGTTTCCTGTTCATGTTTATATCACGCTCTAAGGTTTGTTTCCCAAGAGTATCTGGCAGAAGCATTGATATGCTTTATACATCTGTACTTTAGCATCTTGTTAAGTAAAAATTCACAGTATTTTGCAGGGATTTTATGAGCTAGACCAACACAAAACAGTGTATAAAAAGTGAAAATACAGCTGCATCACTTAGTAGTAGTGCAGCAAGGTAAGTTTATTATGTTTTATTTATTTATTTTTACAAAAAAACAGAAGAGTGCATTGTATATTTTGTAGACTGCAGCCATCACTCTCAGATTGGCTATTTACCTCAATGGTAAATACCCAATGAGGTAAATAGTCTCTCAATTTACATTCTGTGGCTCAACATAAACTGAAGTTAACAGATGCTCTCTGGCCAATGTGACCGAGCCTGAGCTAATTTGGAATGAAGAAAGTGTAATAAAGTTGGTCTCTTCATTTGAAAACTTTCCTCTAACACTTTTTTTGAAGGTCATCCGTCCATCGTCTATAGCTGCTAACTATTGGAGGGGTTCTGTCCAGCAGTCACTGGACAGAAGACTTGGCACAACCTTAAAAACCCATGTTTCTTTTTTTTTAAAGTTTGATAATTATGCAGAACTTTATGACATAAAATATGGCCATGTTTGTGATTGTAATGTATAGAATGTGTTAAGGGATCTAATAAAAATGTTGTCTGCAGTCTGATTTCATACCTTGTGTCGCCCTCTGCTTTGGCAATGTGTCCAAAAATATGAGCAAAAGAATTTGGAATAATCCCTCGAAGTTCTGGTACCGCCCTCACCCCCTCCATGGTGAAGGTTTTTCCTGTGCCAGTTTGCCCATATGCAAAAATTGTGCCTGGATTGGGGAATCAAAGAATATAATTCCATCATTCCCAATAATATGGATTGTGAAAATTGAAAATGACAAAGTATCAAGTAGAAGTTACTTTAAAAGAACTGTTATGTGCTTGTTATAAGCTACACTACAGTAATCCCTGCAACGATTGAAAGTTAACTACTTCAATGCTTTAACTGAGCTTATTAAACAAATTGTTTCTATAAGGACAAAAACTGTACCGTTATATCCCTCTAAAACGGAGTCGACGATTGGGCGGGCTGTGAGGTTGTAGACGTCGAGCTGCTTGCTGTCAGGCCCAAACACAGTGTCAAAGGTGAATGTCTTAGGAGGTTCGTGGGGGATCTCCAGTTTGTTCACCGTTATGGTGCCACGGATCTCGTCCACATTGACGGCCTGCTTGTGGGCCATCATCTTCTCCTTCTGGTTGAAGGGACGACATCTGACCACAACTTTGACATTATCACTGACTTCCTGTTTCTCAGCTTTACTGCTCTGGAATGGATAAAAATAAGAAATACATGGACTTATCGGCATAGCTAACAAATAGCATGGGATGCACATATGCACACACAGGAACATTTTGGCATCCATAATGAAAATATGAGATATGCAGAAAAAGTATTGTGGAAAAACAGTGGTGAGAAAAAGTTTGCCCCTCTTGATTTCCCTTTTTTTAATCATTCATTTGATTCGCATGTGCTGGAACAGACTCCAAGGAGAAATGGTGTAAAATCCTTTCCTCTGTATGCTCCAGTCCTGTGAAGTGCTGCTCCATTGGCAAATGACTGTTGCATCGACAGCAACTGTGTACCGATTTCGTTACAGCAATTCTTAGCATGCGATTTCAGTCCGCACATAAATTAAAGGCTGGATTACTAACATTTTCACTGCGAGATTATTCCGCTAAAATGGAAGATTTTGCAGCTTTTTTAGGCGTTTTTATCAGGGTTGCAATTACCGTCTCATAAACACCCCATAACAATCTAAAGCAGACACGACGGATGCATAAATCAATCAGATCTGAGAGGTTTTAATTAACCCTCCATGGGTCAAAATGTTACAAGATGTTGCTAGGTAACGACATTACGGTCTTTGCTTTGACCGCAGCTGGTTTGCTAGTAATAACCGCAATGTGTGAATAGTCACACATTTTTACATGGAAGAAGCGAACTTAAAATAAAAGCTATTATGGTAAAATAAAACCCAATAGCGCATAAAACGTTTAAAAAAGAAACGGACAGTTGTCAGAGGCCTTTAACATATCTCTGTAACCCGAAACAGTTGCGATAACTGACATGCTAATGCTAAGCGGGGTTAGCATCACATCAACAGAGAAAGGGAGGAACCCTGCTTACGAACAAAACAAAACTACAAAAAAAAAAATCATACAAAAAGGCGTGGCGACTTACCGGCATAGTGAGGAAGTGGAATGTGCTATATATGGAGGCTTCGAGACGCTTGGAGAGTTCTGTTCATTTGATTTTGGGTTACTGCTCGCTGAATTTGTGCACCAGCGATGTTGTCATTCTCATCAGCAGCTCATGGCCGCTGGCTCGTCAGCTCCAGTGCGCATGCGTGTCCACTGGTTTCGACTGGACAGTTTTCACACAGTAATGTCTATTAGCACTATTTTGCAGAAATCAATTTAGTAACTCTGCAGTTTATTAAACCATAGAGCTGTTATTGTAATAACATAAACGAGGACTCTGAGCTATGAGTCAGCAAAATATCTGACTAATACATTACAATACAATTTTTTTTTGTATTGTAGGAGCCAATATAAAAAAATCATTGCCTCATTACACAGTATCCAGTACCTTCCATAGTATATATGTAAAATGCTGTAAATTGATTTCTCACTATCTAGATCTCACTAGATTTTTTTTAAAAATTTGGACTTGAAACCCAAAGCAGACAAAAAAATAAATTCCTTTTGTTTAATATTTCAGAAAAATCCTACCTTTAATTTGAATATTGATAGGTACTATTGATGAATCCATGCAATGAACAAACAAAATAACTAGAGATGCAATTATTACTGCTGCTGCTGTACTTTGTGTAGGGAATCCATCTTTGTTCTGACTAATGAAGCTGTACTTAGTCTTCTCCAAAGTTGCCATACATGGACTGTGGCGATTCGGCTCCTTGATTGTTGCTGAGCTTTGACTTCAAACATTGCAATTTTATGGTACCTTAAATAATAACTTCTGCCTTTCCTGAATAAAGCAGTGGAAAATTTAGAACCACTTTGTCATGGTTACTATGGATGCACTGTGTAAGAATCTATGGTAGACTGATGTCATGTGCTTACAGTAATAAAAAGTGTCATCAACATATATGTTATTAAATATAATAGTATTTTAAAGATTTCTCAGATTTATAATCACAAAATGACAAATTAGTCCTTTCCCACCAGCTTAGAGCGGAACTTGTTGAACACGGTCCAACATCTATTTATCATTCACTATGTTATCATAAATTGATTAAAAACTAAGGTGTTTTTGATGCATCAATGTCTGTGCTGTGGTTGAAATCCTGACTGAACAGCAAGTTCTGTCTTTTCATTCTGAAAAAGGATTAAATAGATTCACTTTCAAATAAGATTTGCAAAAAAAATGCTAGGTTAGATTACAGAGGTATCTGATTTATTTAAAATATATTTATTATCTTTGAAATCTGTAATATTTGAGAGACAAATCAAATGAGGTAAAAAAAAAAAAAACTTGTGGGCTCCATGTTTAGACAGCAGGTTGCAGTTTTTAAGTCATGATTAGTTCCTGTGAAACTGAGATGAGACGCATAGTTCAATGGTTCAAAATTAAACTACGTGAACAAATTACCACCAAGGCCACGGAGGTCTTACTCTTAGAATTTTGTCTATGAAATAATCAGCAGGATTTGTTGGTGAAGAGTCCAGGCAACAGCCTGCCAGTAACAACCAATAAGGACTGGAGATTGTTACAGCTTTTGTGAATAATGTTACCCTTTGTAAATCTTGTATACAGGTACAATAACTCACTTTAAAAATGTCCTAAAGGTCCTGGTTTAGGAATTTAGTTTTCTCGACCAGCGTTTGGTTCTACCGCACTTTTTTTTTGTTCTGGCTCATAGCAGTCCCTGCAATGTAACATTTTCCTTTCACTTTGTTCTTAATTGAGGCAAATTCAGTCATAGCTTTCCAGTCGTAATCATGGAATGAAAAATATTTAGAGGTTCATTAAAGTGGCCTGACAAAAGGTTGGGTTTCAGAAGAAAGAAGCCAAATTGCTACAGGTTCTGGAACTATACTTTATTAACACAAAAGCAGTACAGATAATTTACCTAATCTCTCTAAATATGTACAAATATGTTTTCTTGGTGGGTTTTGACAAAGGCACTCACCATTGTGTAACAGATGAAGCAAGGAACCTGAAGTGGGTTTTAGTGCAAAATTTGAATAATATCACGTGTTACAAACATGCGCACACATTACAGGACGCAAAATACATCTCTGAAGACTTTACCCACGCTCTCACATCCACTCAGGTCCAAAGTACAAACCTGTTATTTGACTGTTGTGTGGCAGGATCGTTTTTTGGACATAAACACTTGTTTTGTTCAGTTATTTGGCAGTTCAAACAAATAAGAGAGAAATTAGGGGTGCACCAATTTAACGGCCAGCCGATTTATCTGGGCTGATTTCCTTAATTTTGGGAGATTGGTGATTGACTGATACTTACATGTGAAACACATCTTGTCCACCTATCTTATCTACGTCAGCAAGTATTTAAAAATCAGCCACTCCTGCTCTGCTGTCAGAGAGGTTTGACTGAGAAACTTGCCCACCAGGTCATGTCTGCACATTTGCAGTAAACAGTAGTCACCCCACTGTTGCCAGCTCTGCGACTTTCATGCTATATTTAGCAACATATCAGGCCAAAATCGGATGTTTTAAATATAATCGGCAAGAAAACTGCAATCGGTGCATCCCTAATAGAAGTGACCATTAATTTAGCAGTAATACACAGTCAGCTAAGCCTCTCAAGGGCTTGGAGAATAGTGTTGTGGAAAATGCCTGTTTGTCCGCTGCTCTCCTGCGTAAGGAGGACCCGTCCGTCAGGCCGAGGTCTGTGGACGAGGACCACCTCTCCTTGCAGCAGACTGAGCTCTGAGTCTGTCTGGGCTAAATGTGTTGTGGTCATTCTGTGCCTGGAAAACAAAACATTTCAAACAAAATAGATGAATAATTGCTCAGGTCTGCCTCTACTTGTGTGAGTGAGGACTCCAAAGTGAAGTTTACCTGACGGGGCTGAACTGAGCCGACAAGGCTGACAGCGACGGCTGTGAGTGGAATGGTTTCTGCGGGTTAGAATTTGGATCAGAAATGGCCGTTTCAAAGCCCTTCCTAAGAACTGGACCTTTCCCGTCTTTGAGAAGGATCCCCGGTCCGTCTCTCCCCATGGTGAGAGAAGGGGCCCACACTTCTAACGGCAGGGGCCCAGGACGACAGTTTGGGTGAACCTGAGACCCAGATGACCAGGAGGAGGTCCGATGTCTTGGAGGAGGAGACTCTTCATCCGTCAGGAACCGAACTGATTTTGGAGGCTTTGGAAAAGCAAAGAAACATTTAACCTTCCCAAAAGCCTGAGAACGTGAAACAAAAGCAAACATGATTCAGACATTACCTTGTCTAGGCTGTTTTTCTGTGCGTCTTGTCTGACTAGAATCGACTGAGGTGCATTTGCAGCAGGCTGCCTGTGGTGCCGAAATACTGATTCGTGTGAGGCACCACAGTCCCTGTCCTTCATGACCGCACCAGCAGAGAGCGCTGCTGGCTCAGTCATCCAGCCATAAGGTTTGGAGTTGGAGAATGGGAAGCTGCCATTTCTCTTTCTCTGCAGAGCAGGTGAGTAGCCCGACGCCTGAACTTGTGCGAAAGGTTGCGAGTTGGACGGGATGTTATAGGAGGACACATGGGAGGGACGGTTGAGGCTGAAATAAAATGTAAAGAGTGCATTTTTGTTTTACAACTGCTTGATCAAGATAAAGCAGCACCGTTATTATAAAACTTATTTCTCACTGACCTCTGGGGTTGAAAACACGTCTCACAGTGTCCCAACCTTGAGACGTCCCATAAAAGGATGGCTTAGCAGCTCCACTGGAGGACGCGGCATGCTGTGCTCCATTTGGCACAGCCGACACCTGTCCTGTTGAGAATTTCGTTCCATCACCGCCCACCTTGTCGAGAGCAAGGACCACAGTGGGATTTTTTGCAGCGGTGGGTTTCTTCCCAGATAATGTGTTGTAATGCGAGGATGTGTTAGCTGCTTTGGTCTCCAAAAGTCTGGCTGAGGTTCTATAACAAAAGCACATGTCATTTTAAAAACAGTACTTCACTTTACAGGGGTATTCTCACATTTTTTCACACGTTAACCACAAACACAACTCTGTGTTATTGTGACTTTAATGTGATGTGGTGGATCAGCACAAAGTAGTGCACAAAACACACAGTATTATTCACTTACGTAAAAAATTAATTAATTAAAAAAAATATAAAAAATGTGCAATTTATACAGCTGTATTGCTCTGAAATTCCCAAACAAAATAATTAAATACACATATTAAACAGATATCAAAATCACAATTTAACATTAGGATATATTCCTCTTTTTGATAAAATTTTTAGGAGAGCATTAATGAATCCCAAGGAATACACCTAAACTAACATGATGACAAAAGAAAGTATTTGTCAGAGAAACAACAGGGAGGCCCTGCAGACATCTACAGCTCAAGGCAAGTCAAGCAGATGAATTTGAATAAATTCATACACAATTTAATCAAAAATGCTTAACAAAACACCAAAGGAAAGACCAAAACAAAATAACATCTTTTCAAGAATTTTCTTAAAAGAGGAGTAAAAATGTCATATACTTCAAAGCATGAATGCTGCGGATAAGACAGATAAAGCTGACACTAGTTACTAAAACAGACTTTAGACTAAGGCAACAGTTCAGCTTCCAGCAGGGAACAATTTCCTTCAATAAATTGCTACAATAGAATGGTGTCGATCAAATCAAATCATATTCATATTTTGAAACGGCCCAGTCAAAGTCCAGAACTAATTCCAACCATGACGCCACAGTAAGAGTTGAAACGTGATATTCACAGAGCCTCTGCATCCAATTTGACCAAGCTGTGACACACCCTGATAGGTATGTAGCAGCAATCGCAGTGGAAGGTGGTTCCACAAAGCCCTGACTCATGACACCAGATGATCAAACAACTCATTCGGAAAATATTTTGAAAACCATAAATTCTTTTTCTCTCATGTCACAACGTGGCATTACTATGTTAGTTCTATATATAAATTAAAAAGTGGTGTTTGGTTCTAATAAACTGTGTATCAAGTCCTTCTGCAATAGATTAGAGAGAGATCTTTAAATTGTTTCTCTTATTCATTTATTTGGGCATTGAGTTCCATTGAGTTTGACCACATTTCTGAAATGTATGCATGACTGAAAGCCTCCTGGCACATATATAGAGGCAGCCTCTAACCTGAGCACAGGGGTGATGTAGTTGCTAGGAAGAATGCCCACTTTCCCCGTTCGGAGCGACAGCCCACGCAGCCAGCCATCTTTGAACTTCCCGTACACGCCCACCATCTCTCCTTTCCTCAGCTCCAGTTCCTCCGGTCGTCGAGGTTTGTAGGAGTACAGGACAGCGCACCTGGAGAGGCACACCCAGGGTTTGCTTAAGTTGTTACCACATGTTCACGGCCCATAAAATTTCACTCAAGCCTTTCTTATTGTACCCTTAATTCTGTCATTCTTGCACACATGATTGTACATCATCATCTTAATAATGTAATGTCTTAAAGATGACTCACACGCTGATCGAGAGCTGCTGCGTGGAGGAGTTTCTGCCGTCTGCAGAGGAGGAGGCCGTTTGGGGGTTCATCAGAGCCATGGAGATTGTGGACGGGGTCTCGCTGGTCATTTTCTTCTCACTCTGAAAGGCAATCCGATTTGAAAGTATAATAAGAAACTGAAAGCATGATGCACAGCGCATTATGAAAGAGCACATGTATAAGAGATGAGGGCACAGCTGCATTTCTGGGAATGTAATGTGTTTTTTTTAACAACATGAGTCAACAAGAGACCTGATGGTGGGTATGAATGGCGTCATTAAACCTCATCCTACATACACCGTGACTTATACTGGGTGTAGCTGGATGGTAATTCATGCACCAGCACAGAAAAGATCAAAGTGGGAGATTTCTGTGCAAAAACCTATTACAACAGCTGATATTCCTTTGATCTGTCTGACATAGACAGCTGATGTCTCATTGTGTCTCTCAGGGTATTTTAACAAATTCAGTACAGCTCTTATGGTTTGGAAGTTAAGATTGCGAAGTTGGGAAGTTATTTTTACCCAGTAAGTTCTATGATTTTATTTATGATGCACAAAACTTCATCTGAATTTTGACACAAGACAAACTTGTGCTTCTCATGGTACATATTTCTGTGGGAAGCCGATGATATTATCTGAAAGGAAGTTCAAAAACTGACAAAAAATAACTTTTGTGCGACACTGTTTTAAAGTAGGGGAGCTTAAGTTAAGTATTTCAAAATCGAGGTCTTAAATGGTAGCATAAAAAAACAATTTATTCTAGATCAAAAGGGAAAAATATTCAAATTTACCCTATGTTTCCAAATCACACAGTAGATTCTGAATTTTTTAACAGTAAAATTGCCCAAAGCCAGAAGGGGGTCATGCTTAAAAAGATGCACAAAATCTGACTCTGTAAGCCTCAGTTAGCAAGTTTATTGTTACAGTTCTCGACTGTAAAATTAAAGAGAAACAAAAGCAGCCTAGTTTGACTGAAGAGCTGGTAGCATGGTGGTGGAGAGATGAAGCTTTGGGTTTGTTTTGTAGCCACAGAATCTGGGCATCTTGCAGTCACTGAATCAGCCATAAAACTCCTCTGTGGACCAGCCTGTGCGCCGGCTTCAGCCTGAGCAAAACTGGTAGATGAAGGAGGAAAATCACAGATCTTAAGTCTAAAAACTGATTTGGTAACTGGAAGAATTTACTGTTTTTCTGTGAATGTAAATATGAAGCGTGGGGGAAAACTTCAAACACTCAAGAAGTTGCGCATAAAACAGAAACTTTGAAAAATAATCCCATAATATTTGTTTTACATGTTAACATAAGACCCCTTCTTTGACATCACCTGCACAATTGTTGCAACCATTAAACTTGTGAGTTTGTGGAAAGTTTCAGCTTGAATTTTTTTGCAGGACGTCAGAAAACCTTCCCAGAGCTGCTGTTTGATATGAACTGCAGCCCACCCTCAGATCTTCTGATACTCCAATGGTTCTCAATAGGGTCAGAGGTCAGAGGAGGATGGTGACTCCACCATGAGTTTCTCCCTTTTTATCCCCACAGCAGCCAATGACACAGTGATATTCCTTGCAGCATGAGATGATGCATCGTCATGCATGAAGATGACGTGCATCTTCATGTCTCAGTAAAAGTAAAATCTACAGTTTCTGAAATTCAAGAGTTCGTAATCCAAACAAAAACCCCTCGGTCGGTCGCTGGTCGGTTTGCAGTGAGCGGCGCCGAGGACAGTCCTAGCACCAGTCCTCTTTTTTTGAACCATGAAAGAAAGTCCATATACTTTGCTGAGGTCATTTTCACACCTTCATGGACTCTGAAGGGGCCGACCAATGATTCTCTCCCCATGATTTCAAAGAATGACTTCACCACAGCCGTGTTGGGATGTGATGGCCATCCACCAATCCACTACTGTGTACTCTTTCCCATATTGCTTGAAACCTGTGGCCTGCTTAATAATGTGGAACATTCTTCTTAAGTAGATTTCCTTTAATTGAGCTCATCAGACAAACTAATCAACCGGCTCTCTGAAATTAATAATAGTGACTCAAAGAGCCCTGACTCACAATACCATCTATAAATTGAATAGCACAACAAAAAATTTAATCTTGACACCAATTTGCAGAATAATTTGGAACACGGTGTATGATTTTTAACAAGAAATGAGATTGCGAGACTTCTCATAAAGTATATCAATTAAAATAAAAAGCATAATTTTTCTGCTATCCTAATGAGGTTTTGCTCATCATCTCTCCTCATAATCTTTTACAGCTGCACAAGTCTGTGATCAGACATTTTGAAAACAACAGCACATAACTAAGTGGACGAATATAAACTGTGTTGCAAACAGCTAGTATCATAATCACTCTGCTCCTTTACTTTCTCATCTGTCTGAGTAGCATTTAAGATTTGATGATTTACTCTCTGAAGTGCTAAAAACCTCTTACTTTCAGATTGCTGATGCAATTATGATGCACATGCATAAAACTATGTCGAATGCACCATGAAATATAAATGAACGAAAGCTTGTTTAGAATAGTTATTCTATGAACATAGTTTCTCTGTGTGAGGCTGAGAAGCTGGGAAACTTTTTCCAGGCTTGATGTCAGCCAGCTGTGAGTCAGCCATGACACTGTCGGTGAATGACAGGGAGTGACACGGAGGCGAGCCAGCCAACTGTCAAAGATCCAGTTCAGAGTTTAATCTCTCTTGTTAGAAGACTGATGATGGTCTTAACGAGGCTTTGACTAGACGCGTTTCTGCTTTTCTTTCCGCCACTGTCTCCTGCTCACGTTATTTTAATACAGTCACTACAAAGCGGGAGGAGAAACGTTCGTGCTGCCCTTTATCTTTCGTCAAAACAGATTTTTGGTGCTATTTATAGCTTACCCCCACTCATCTTCTACTTAAAGCATTACTGCTGGCCTGTAGGCATTTTGTTTCCTAAATGCAGCTCGCATCAGGCTCTCAACTCACACTAAAACTTAAAAGCACAACGTCCAAAATTGTTAAGCTGTAGCACAAGCTTCCAGGACTGGACACTTAAACAATTAAAATAATAACATTAAATAATAATAATGAGAAATGGCTGAGTTGTGTGAGAAAGTGAAGCTGCATAGTTTTCAACATCATCCATCGTTCAGAGGGAAATGTGTGATATTTCTTCTTTCACACGTTACTTCATGTGTGAAAGAAAATTATACCCAAAACAATCAAAACATTATCATAGGACCTCATAAGGTTGAGTTTACATATCCTTTCTAAGGCAGCAGATTCATTTCATTTACACAGTTTCTGTCATGAGGTGCGGTGAAGGTGGTGAGGCAAAATGCAGCAGATAATGTAAATGATGGTTTTAATGATGAATAGCACACAAGTAATTCCAAAAGTCCAGTCAGCAAAGCTAGAGCAGAAGACTAAGGCTAAAAAACCGGTAGCAACTGGTGAGCCTCAAAAACAACACAGAGGAAAGAACGTAACTAGACAAGGACCCAATCAGGACCAAGGCACACAGGTGGGTTTAAATACACAGGGAGACAAGCAGGAGAAACAAGGGACAGCTGGGGACAATCAAAGAGGAGACGAGCCTCAACAGAACACAGAAACCTAAATAAACACGCAAAAAACCAAAATCACAACAGTTTCTTCCAATTATGCAAAACTCCTGTGCAAAAATTCTTCTGCAACATTATTCAACAACAACAAAAATAGTTTCATCACCTTTTGAATTGTTTAAATTCCTTCTAAATTGTTTTTTTTTTTTGTCTCTGTGCTTAAAGATTTAAGCAAACATGAAGCACTCTGGGAGCGTGAGGATATCAATATTCATCCTGTTCACACTGAAACTTTGGATAGAGTCACCATCGGCATAAATGTTTTACTGAATTGGGTTTTTTTAAGTGAATCATGCAAAATTATACATACATGTACAGACACATTAAATATGTGGTTAAATGAACGTTAAGAACTTGTTCAGCAACCACCAGTTTACTGTAATGACAATTAAACCCAGGCATAAATCTGACTGTTTATTTAACCACAACTAGAACTGGTCACATTTATTCAAACTGGTTGATTCCTGAGTATTAACCAGGCTTTTAAGAGTAGCGCCCAAGTTTTCCATTGTGAGAAGATCTGGGCTATGGACTGCAGGCCTGACTCAAATGACAACTTTTCAGATGACATTTAAATGAGTCCGCAGAAAATGTTTGGCCAGGACTACATGGGATTATGTTTTGTTAAATGATATAATGTTTATTGTATGTGAAGGTAACACTTTAATAAAAACTAGACCTGAATTACATTTAACATAAAAATAGTATATTCAATTATTTTAATTCAGTATGAGGAGAAGGGTCAAGATGATCTGCTGGTTCTATTATTGACTTGATTGGTTTCATTGGGTTAGCATTACTTGTGGAATGAAGCAGAACATGTTTATCAAAGGTTTAATTAAACCAATGTCATCAAAACTGACATTGGTTTTGATGACATTGTGATGAAAAATTGGGTTGGTCAATTTTTCTGACCAACCCCCAAAAAATTGATCTGACCCAGCCTTTATAAAAAACAAAAAAAATATCAGGCCAGGTCCACCAAGTTTTAACATTGATATCTAATTTCTTTATTAAGTAACATATAACAAGCATTAATCAATTTCTCCTTTGGAGCATCTATTTAGTTTAAGTTGGAACTCAGATTAAGCTGAAAGGATGTTATAAGGACTGTCCTGTCACTTGGTGAGGTCAAGATTATCCTTCAGGATGTTTATTTCTGTAGCTCATGTCACTATCTTCTCTAAAACTGCTTCAAATTGTACTGTGTTCCACTTTGGCAGAGCAAAACAAAGCTGTTTTGAATTTGCTGAACCCTTGGCTCCTCACGGCTGAAATAATAAATCTTTGTGAGGGTGTGTCACCAGGATAGACTCGTAATCAGGGTTTGCTCAAGACGTTCTGAAAGTACTTAAGCTGAACAGTGCGGCCTTTTGTCTTTGGCTCATCCTAACAAACGGCCATTAAGACACATGCTGTTCTAATAAGTGAATAATGCTCTACCAGTACTTTGTTTAAAGTCTTTTATTGTCAGAACTTTAATTTCTAATTGCCTCCAAGTTTACTGCCAGCTTGAATGTAGAAATATATTTAATATTTTACAGAGGGATAAATATTTTTCTTAAATGTGTCCCATCATAAATGTAGCACGATATTTTGAAACCAACAACAAAGCCATCAAAACTAGAGGCCTTAATGGTGAAAGAATCACTGCATGGCTGATCCCGATTGCTCCCATCTTGCATTTTATTTTCTGTTAATTTGTTGCAGAGTTTGTACAAACGTATTGTTAACTTGTGTGGTAGTTTAAAACCGATTGCTCTTGAAAATGAGACCACATGTCTCGATGAAATGAGGGAGAAATAAAGGCCAAAAAAAAGCTTGTAAATTGAATGCAACAAGCATTTTAAAAGAGATGTAGAAGAGAATACATCATGAACCAAGTTGTCATAATATCCGCTTTTACATAAACACAAATTAATAGCGAATGCTCAGCAATTATTAAGGACAAAACCAACTGTTCTCAAAATCAAAGTTAACTATTTCATCCCTATTTCTATTTCAGACCTCTCAAAAAAAAAACTATCTCATATCCATATGTCTAAACCACACAAGACACTATCTCCATAGTGAAGCATGGTGGAAGCAGCATCATGCCTTTTTCCAGCAGGACCAGGGCCCGTTTACCCTCAAGACTAGCTGTCACAACACAGTAACATTGTCTATGAATGAGCTTCCCATAATAACTAACTAAAACGCTGAAGTTGAGTACTTTGAATGGGTATCATGTGCCTCTATAATAAAGTCACAGGAAGTTGTAAAAACCAATCCCAAAATAGACACACCCTGCTTCAGTCTAAATAAAACTGGATTAGTGTAATCCAGTTTTGTTTTGAATGGAGACAGTCACAGACAGTCATTTCAATGAAGAGAGAAAAAAAATCCGTAATATGATTCAGACTATAACCGCTGCCACTTGGTGCAGAGGATGTGATAAACGTTGTCATCCCTGACAACATTTGATGTCATCTCTATGGTTTGCATGAGAGAGAAATGAGGAGTCCAGCTTTTTAGTCCAGCTAATAAGTGGTTTGTGAGGTGTGATGCAGATACTTTCATTGAATGTCTGAGTGATAATACTCTTGAGTCATTTACATTAATGTGGAGGGACTCTGTGCAGAATTGTTTTACTTCAGCCACCATGTGCATGCTCAGACTCTTACAGGTCATGGCAAAACATTTCCATTGGATGTAAGTTCAACTTCGACAGTCATTCACTTGCTGTCTTGCTGGTGCGCTTTGGATCAGAAACAAGTGGCCGAATGATCTCCACCAGGGTTTTCTGCTAGAAAGCAAAATAAATGGCTTCATCATCCACAGCAAAGACCCAGTATTTGTGGAAACACGTCTGACAATAATGAAGTATTTTGAGATGTCAGACAAAACAAACTTGAAATCATTCGACTTATTGACTGACGTGCTGTGCAGTTTGACAAAACAGTCACATATGCGATGAAAAAACTTGTCTGTGCGACAAATGTTGCATGTGTTAGACAACTCGGTCACCAAAGTCTGCATCTGTCTTGCAAGTCCAACCATAGAGACTTTTAGTGACAGATGAGCGTTAGACCATTTAGGACTTAAGCCTGTTTCCATGGTATTGCTTTCATCAACATGTCTCTGTATTTCTGTCAGCTGAGCAACTTCACGACACGCCACATTGCGCCGGATCCAAGGATTGTGGCGAAGAAGTGGGAGCAAAGCTCTGTTTGCTTAGCTGAACCAGCAATTACTGATCCACACATATTGAAATACAAATGAACATATTTCAGAGCTCCGTGCAGCAGAATGTCCATAAGTCAAACAATATCCATATGGGACGACATTTTTAACTTTCCAAACTTACATTTGGAGAGTCATTTTAATTAGTGGGAGTTTTTGATAATGTAGGGATCTTGATAAATTCAAAAAGCAGGGCCAGATTAAGATTACAGACATCGTATAACATTTTGATTGATTTTTAAATATTATCTAAAACTCTAGACTGTAATAAATAGTGTGCATCTGCATTTATAGAGAATTATTTGGAAAAATTTAAGTAGCAAATATCTGAGGACTATCATGTTCATAACATATTTAGGACTGTCCCCAGTCCTAGTGCAAACTTGCATGCACCCACTATTAAATAGATACAAATCGAGTACATCGTCATGCATGTTTCAGGAATGTCCTGTCTGACACACTCCCACATATGCCATTTTGTCAGCGGTAGATCAAAGGTTTTCGCAAACACTGATACAAACCGGAAAAACTGAGTTGCCGCATGTGTCATCAGAAAATAAAAGTCCCTTCTTCAGATAATTTTGTTGGAAAAAATTTAAATTCTCCTATTACAAATACATATGACATTAAAAACCAAAAGTCCCGTGGAGAAAAAAAAAATTCTAATTTGAAAAGGAATCATATGACAGGTGAATAAGTTCATCTGATATGGATTAAAATAGTTTGTGGTAAACGTCGGGTGTGATTCTGCTGCAAAACGGGAAGCCTTATCTTATATTGATTTTGTTTCACCATTTCTATCTCCATCCTAAATTCTGCTCTTACGTAAGCGTGCCGATATTCACAATGATGAACATCATTTGCCTGACAGTGGGAGGGATGCTGCCGCTCTCTCTCCCGCAGAACCTGAGGTAAGAGGAGCCTGTGAGCTTTACGGAGAAACCCCCTCCCCAGCTGGGCGCTGTCACCCGGGCCGGACCCGGCCTCGGCTTTGGGGTCCTGGCCCTAACCGAGAGGCCAATGCCTGTCAGCCATTATGGCCGACTGATGTAAAGGTGTTACCTGCTTCGTGAAGAGGAAGCAGGATATTGTGGCCTGTTATGTAACCAACTTCACAAGTGACTCATCATCATCATCACCACCACCATCATCATCATCATCGGGAGCAGCAGCATGAGCAAAATAAGCAGACACACTGAGGGACACTCAAAGCCTCCCACTTTCCACATCATTCTCTCATTTGTCCACCTCCTTCCTTCTCCCTCTTGTGGATTGCCTTTTTGTGGGTTGTTTCTCTTCCCAGCTCAAAAAACATCTTTCTTTACAAGTATTTCCTCTCACATTTTTCCCCTCTTCCTGCCTAACCTATCCCATTTCCCCTATTTCTTATCGCTCTTCTCAGGTGTCCTCCACTTCCTTCCCCTCCTGGTTTCTTCGGCACAAATGAGATTTTCTTCCCTACTTTTTTTTTTATGCGCTGACACATGTAATTGCAGGTTAGAGCTCTGAAATCTGAGGTAACTCAAGGGAAACCATTATGTGAGGGGGCGGACCAGCAGATTATATTATGAAGGTTTTTCAGGTTTGAGTGCGACTGCCGCAGTCGATGTAAACGCCTCGATGATCTACTAACTGGATGTTCTGCTGTATTATTCCTTAGGATTGTCAAAACTCATATGCAGCCTTTCATTTGAAATGCTTTTATTTGTTTGATATTTGGCAAACAAATAAAACTTAAAACAGTCACTGTAACTTGGTGACAGGTAAATAAATCTAAGTCTATCTATGGAGATGCAGAAGAAAGAGAAATAAAGAGGTAGCAGGAATCAGATTATTTTGGGGGCTTGGTTTGACAGCAACACTGTTTGGTGTGGAAGTTGTTATTTAAAGAACAAGACTCGGGATGTTCCTTCAAGCCAGACAATTAACATTCAATTAAAAGTTTTTTGTCTTCTGAAATATCAAGTTGGAAAATGTTCAATTGATTTAAAAATTTACGTCAGAGAGGGAAAAAAATATTGCATTTCATTTTAGATCAAGATCAGCTGACTAAAATGAAACAGAGCAAAGGTAATCACACTACCACCACCGTGTCCGAAAAACGAGAAGCAAAACTGACTGTGGGAGGTTTGGAATGTTTTTTTTTTCTTTTATGCAATTTTGGAAACACAATTAGAAAAATATATAGTTCCATAGCATTGTACATCCTGAACCATGCAAAAATACTTGTATGAGCTTTAATATTTTCTGTAAATAACAAGCTGTAACTATTTTTAGTTAGTATGTATTTGTATAGGTACCTGAATCAAATTACTGTATTTGGAGATTTTCAGTGATGCAAAAACTCTGAACTTTTAGAGATGCTCTCTAACTGTGGTTAGTTTTAAGCTACTGTTTTATTTTATTAGAAAACATTTTATTATGAAGACAAGTCACATTTTCAGTTGATTCAGAAATTATTTCAAAAGTATTTAGTAAGAAATTGGTCAGTGCTTCATAAAATTGTTGACCAGAATTCAAACAAACCTGATCTCTGATCAGTCGGTCTCTAATCTTTCTGTCGTATGATGCAGTTACATATTTAACAGGTATTTTAAAAACATTTCTTCTTATCCTGTATCAAAGGTCTCACTTTGTGCAAGACTCTGCTTGAGCTGAAGGAAGAAAAAAGGACACATGCTTACATATTCCCTGTTTGGCTGGAATTCAGCCTGGACTCTCTCCCCAGAATCAGATGATTGAAGACCTTTTCAAAGTTACAACCATTCTCATCTTTCTTATCTTGCTCTTTTCCACATCTGTGTTCTCTTAAGAACCTCTTAATCAAACCCTGGCCAATGCACAGGCAAACGCCCCTTTCTTATCCGCTCCTTGAGCTCAGTGTTATTATTCCCCTCCCTGCATTCCTGAGGTCAACTTGATCTTTTTGTGACTCAAGCAAAACATCTTTATTTTCTATTATTGAAAATCGGCCGCACACTTTTTTGCCAACCACATGTTTTCTGTTCGGATAAATCCCTGACAAGAAAACAAAGTCAAGTATAACTTAGACCAACAGTGATGCGAGTACAACTAAAGGAAAAGGTGAAGAGCTTGCAGAGTTCGACTCACCTGTAACAGGTGTCTGTGGGAGTCAGAGCGCCGGCTGTTTCGCCGAGAGTTCACTCTGCGAGGGTGGGACTGGCTTCGCGCTGCGGAGGGCACCGAGAAGTGCTGCGGCTGACCCTGAGGGATGAAGCTGATGTTGGCGGCCGACTGGAAGGAGCTGGCTGTGGGCTGCTTCCGAAAAGCATTGATGACGGGCGTCTTGGTTTGGACCTGAGGGACTCCGTAATGGGCAGAGCGGCTGAATGCGTCAGCGGCCTTGTCTTTGCCCCCGCTGCCGGACTGATGGTGAGGTTCTGCTGAGTCACTCCCGCTCCGGCCCTTTCCTTTAAGCAGCTTGGCTGCTGCAGAGTTTGGCTGGAATAGTCAGAGAAGCGTAACTAAAAATCAGGATGAATTCATGCAACATCCTCTCCTACACGCTGCTAGTGCCTGACAACCTTCTGCTCCCACTGATCGGCGAAGCGGCTGTTTAAACACACCTACTTATCAAAAACTCGGTTCTCCCTTACAACTTGTTGGGCAGACTGGCAGGCAGACAGGGTAAATATGAGCCAATCAGCCAAGAAGGGCTGAGCGACGCTGAGAAAGGAGCAGACAGACAGACAGGCATAGCAGGGTTGATGCTGCTCTTTCCTCACTGTGATGTGCTGTTATGTCACCCAGGCAGAGAAAGCATTACCGAGTCTTCACGCCTGGCTGCACGATGAGAGGAGAGACAGGCTTGGAGAGGAGAAAAGTACAAGCTGAGGCTAAGATGGATGGAAAAGGAGGAGGCGAGGACGTGGGAACAAAAACAGGTGCACGAGGAGATGTATTAGTGACAAGAGGAGACTTTTGGAGAAAATCTAACCAGGAGCAGTGAACACACTTTGGGAGAAAATGCAATTTTCTCCAGCATGGATGAAGTTAATTCCTTAAGGCAGAAAGCACAGAGGAAAACAAATGACAGTCAGCAAGCTAAGCAAGCCCAGCAAACCTGAGTAAAGCACACAGTCGCACACTAATGAGCAGCTGCAGACACAGCACAGCTTCACAGACGAGCCCTCTGCCTCAGCGCTTTGCAGCATAACAGTGACCTTTACTGATGAATCAACCATTCAACTGAAGAATAAGGCAGCATCCAGCCGCTGAGCTGTATCCAGTCACATCTGGAACATGTTTTTTCCACCGTCGGGAGCCGAGCATCTTAAAACAGAACGAGTTGAAAAGTAGAGCGAGAAAAAAAAAGAAGAAGAAAAGAAGCTCACCTCTACAAACTGTCTGGGACAAATCCCAACTTTCTCCCCCAGCTTTGCCTCGATCCAGTGCTCATCCACTCGCCTGATGGCTGTCAGGATGTCTCCCTGCGAAGTAAGTGAGAGACGCAGAGAGAGCGGCGGGAAAACATCAGGTGGTTGATAACAAGATGGAGCTCGTGCCAGAGACTGAGCACTCTGCCCAGAAACTCTCAGAGCCCCGTGTTTCTGCTGCCGTATGTGACATCAGCTCGCTTTGTGTCTGCAGGCCTGGTGCTTTCTGTGGCCAACCTCTTAAAAAAAAAGGGAAAAGACATTTGACCACCTCCATTAAAGAGAAAGGCCAGCTCAAGTGTGCTTTAATGGAGAGAGCACAAGAAACCGAGGCCCTTATATAACAGCCTCAGAGAAGCCTCAGGGTAAGTAACGACCAGTGCAGCCGAGGTCGGTGCCCTCAGCTCCGTAAGTCTCAGTTTTCCCTATGTGAAAAACAGGCGAGCGAACAAAACGCAGTGACCATTACATAATGGCACCACTGTCAACTTACTGTGCAGTACATTCATGATCGCACGTTGTTAGAGAGACTAATCTGCTGAGGTTGTGGGTCGGCTATTTTCAAAACTGCTGACTCTTTATAAGTTTTCTAGCAAACCGTCATTATTACTGACCTTGAGTAAAAAAAAAATGAAAGAGGCGCAAATGAATTAGCTGCTGATCTGGAGAGGACAATTTTCAGCCTGATCGGCGCCGACAGCTGACCGCCCGGTCAGAAGCTCAAAGACCCGATCTGCATTTGATCAGCGGACACTTCACATCTGGCTGTTTTTAGAATAAGCAACGAGTTCCAGTGAAGCCAAATGAGAAGAAATTACTGAAAAAGTCTTTTCTAGGTCAGCAACTCCCAGCAGACAACAGGAAGGCTGAATGAGTTTCATCTGTTTTACTTTTGCATTTGGAAAATGCTGGTAACCTTTTAGTTAAACTCAGTAAACACAGACTGTTGTCATGGTGATGCTGCAATGCAGCTCAGTGCTCTTCTTATATTTTTTACAGTACAATTTGATAACTAAATAAAAAAGATCTATAGTACAGTATCATGAGATTCACACAAAAATGTAAAACATGACATGACTACTTTTATTCATCATTGAAATAACTATCCCTACTGCTGCTGATGACGGTTACATATGCATAATGTTTACTGTCATTTTGAATTGGACGTAGGGATTTATGCTACAACATAGATATAACACTCACTAAATTTGTTTAGCGTAGCTTTGACATTTTTTTGCAGTTCAAGAAGATGTCAGGAGATTATTTAGATAGGCTATCTGTCCCAATTCATCTTATTAGTAAGTTTTTCTAGGATTAGGTTTAAGTTCTTTCTTGTTCAACTGCAATTTGCAGCAAGAGGTGGGGGAGGGGCAACCAGCCAGAGAAAACACCAGCATTTTCTTTGGCAAAAGGTCTTCAACCCTGGTAAATCTCAGCCACTTTGAAACTCTGCCTTTTTAAAAACTTGGGATACCTGGAAACAGGTAAACTGACAAAACTTTAATTTAGCCAGTATCAACATGGACATTTGGGGTGGAAAGTTTCTCAAGAATTAGAGTTGTTTTAAAAAATGTTGATAAAAGAAATGTGACTAAGACGCATTCTGTTACAAATGTTTCAGATCAGAGCTTCACAACCGGCATGTGGAACTGTAATTGTAAACTCCTGGGATAAATTATTTTATGTAAATAAAATATTTGGCCTGTGGGATGAACTTTCACTGGCTTAACATATATTATTCTTCTCTCTGCTATTTTTTCTAGTTGTTTAGATCTACTTAAAAAAAAAAAAAAAAGCCAATTAATAATAATAACAAAGAAATGGCACCAAATGTAGATAACATCTACCAAAAAAGCAAAAAAATAAATCAACTTCTAATAAGCTTCCTTCACAGCTCATGGCCTATTTTCATTCATCATTAGGAAAAGGATTTATTCAAGTTTCAACTCCATTAAACTTGTCTCAACATCGAGATGCTGTGATTCACTTTAAGCATCAACCTTTCAGTCCAAGCTCCTGAAAAAAAAAAGACGATGAAGATTAATTCAAGGTCTGAACAAAAACTCTAAGGAAGGTGAAAACCTCCATTTTACCGTGAAGGGATTTAAAAGGTTCAGCAGGTTTTAAAGGGATCCTATCAGACCTGCTAAACAGGTCTGCAGAACAAAAATACCCGACTAATGAAAAAAACTGATATTTTCCTGCAATGAATGGGAGTGCTCGAAAATAAACGCTACAAAATATCTTACTTCACTCTGAAAGCAAGGGCGTCAAAAGGGGGAAAAGAGGCTTAATCGTAACTGTAACTTAAATAAAAATAAGAGCCTGGAAAAAAGACAAACTCTTAAAATTGTCAAAAGTTTTTTTTAGTGAAATTTGAGTCAGTCTAACGTCATTTTACATGACCACTGAATCTCAGAGAGCAGAAGTTAAGATATTTCTAAATGTGAACTGAAAATAAACTCAAAAACTGTAAAAAGACGAATATAAAAGACTTCGAAATCTACTATTTGTGCAGTCTTTCACTTTTGTGGGCGAGTATACATTTCCCCTATTTTGAGATGCTGTACATTGGATGACAAAAGTGTTTTGAATGCTGGTGGCAGGCTGGTCGAATGAGGCCGTTAAAAACAGGAAGACTCCACTCGACGCACACTGACAACCAAAGGCGATGAACATGAGCTTCCCCTGCTGTGTCCGTGTTGTGTTGAGTGGCAGACCTTGAGGAAGCTGAGATAATATTTGCTGTCTTCCACATCCATCTCTTCTGGGTTGAAGTCACAGAGCGCCCTGCAGAGAGCCTGCGGCGGGGCCTGCTGCGGGGGCTGCAGCTGAGGCGTCTGGCTGCCCGCCTGCAACGCGCCGAGAGACGCTCTGCTGCTGTCGCTGATGTTTTCATAGTACCGCTTGTCCTCTGCTTTATGGCTGGGAGGGACACTGCCAGCAGGTGTGAAGACCAGCTCCCCCGGCACGTCAGCCCGGTGGTTGTTTGCTGACGATCTGAAGGCCGCCTGAGCAGCAGGAGAGAGTCGGACATCAGCGGATTACTGTGACGACATTGCTTTTAAAGACCATGCACACTGAATTTGTCTGTAAGGAAAGTATGAAGTCACAAAATAAACCACAAAATAAATGAGCTATGTTTTGATGACTGTTATGATCAAAGATTGCTGAATTGTGTTTCCCTTGCACAAACTTAAAGCTGTTTTTAAAATTCTATGAACCTGTAATTCATTTATTAAAATGCTTATTTAAAATGATAACAAAATAACTCTGCGCTTTACCAAATATATTATAAGATATGCAGAGCTTTAATGAAGTACATAGGTCAGGAAGAAGTTAATTAAGAAAGAAATAGCGAGGGAGAGGGAAGTAGCTGAGTTATGCTAGCTTGACTTTGACAACCTTAACATGTAGATGTGGTGTGGAATTCTGTGAGTTCGGTTCAGTTAAAAATAAAAAAGGTGATTTAAACACCAACTCTGACAGATCATCAGCAGAGCAGGTGATTAAATTAGCTAATCAACCACCACTGTGTTAGCATAGCTAATAGCAGCGGTAGCTAATCAACCACAGTAATCACTCATTGCAAAATAAACATCAAGTCTGAAAACATAAAACTGACTGAATGTTCTGTTCTTAGTGTGGGAATAATGTTATTATTATGGTTAATATGATAAAAAAACAAAAATAATAATAATTTCATATCATAATAACATTATGTTATTGAATTATATTACTACGACTGCCATTATTAGCCCTGCTGTATGTGCATACATAAAGCTGTATAACTTTATTTTTTTTTAAATGTTGTGTATCGTGACAATATAATAAGAGTCCAAAATTCGGTGAAAAAAAGAAGAATCAAGTTTCTCTGCTTTCTCTCAATGTGCCTGCTGCACATTGAGAACAACCAATCAGAGCCAGAAGGAAGGTCGTAGTGCTGTCAATCATCCCAATGTTCACACTGCTCAGACTCTCCCCCTTTCTTTCTGCTATAGCTGGTTCACCACAAAGGAGTCTGTCATAACTGCTCAGACTAGTTAGCAAGCCATGATGATAACGAATAAGCAGCTCCCCTGAAACAGTGAGTTGCTTCTCCGCTATTAGCACACTGAGCAGCACGCACCTCAGAATGATTGACAGCGTTAAGACCTTTTTGATCAGGAGCAGTGCGTTTATTAAGATGGATAAAGTAGCACTGGAAGGACACGGAGGAACTCAACCTTTTCACAGATTATCTGTCTCATATTATGTTGTCACGACAAGGAGACTTAACAGATATCCAGCAAATTTAGAAATCAGTTAGCTTTTGAAATGCACTACAAATTAGCAGTTGCTGTTTATGTTATTTTTGTTTCTTTATTCAATCATGAATGTCAAGATAATAAAGATTAGTGTGTATGATTACTACTCAACCCCTTCAGCCCAAGGCTGCTATAAAACATTAAGTCACCTACTTAGTGAATAGTTTACCAGAGCACAATTAGTCTTTAAGTATAAGTCCAGTGAAGGACATATGTTGCATAAACAAGCCTTCTCACAATGTCATAATATTCTGCAGATTATTTGACTCAGAAAAATTTTTGTCCACAGATGTTCTCTATCCAATGTGTCTGAGCTTGAGAGAGTCTCTAAATGCAGCTCTGATAAATGTTCAAATGCTCGCTACTCTTTTACACTTTTTATAAACAAAAAAACTTCAAATTGCCAGCTATAAAATCTCAGTGAAACACAAAGAAGTCTCTGGCTTTTACAAAGCGAAATGTGAAAAAAGCTTAGTATGTATGAATACTTTTGCACTGCACTGCAGTACTTATTTTATCCTAGAATGAGAGACTAAAATTGAACAACTTCATGCAAAGTGATACCTTCATGTCTAAACTGTAAAATGACCCCAGATTCAATAACCTGAACTGAGCAGTGCCTTTTGAACTCTGCTTGAACTCATGACGAAATAAACCCTCAACTCCTGCGCAGAGCAAATGAGAGAAACTAAGTCTTTTTTCTCTTTATGACAATACTTTTCCACCCTATGGTGAATTTCAAGCTAAAATGCACCTCAATTACCAACCTGCTTAGTATGTTCACAGAATGCCAGGTATAAATAATGTGGAAATTTGAAATGAGCTTCAGGTAGCCTAATGATTCTAAGGTGTTTCATAATTTATTCGCTTTTAAAACCATGACAACAATCTGAGTGTTGGATGTCAGAAAGTGCTCCGGCAGGACTGAAATGTGATATTTCATGATTGAATCACAGTTTATCTGACCCAGTCTTGCTGTATCAATGCATTCCTTTTAGAGTTTTTCAATAACTTATGAGCACTTGGAGCCTGTGCACTGCACTGGCTTTCTCAGTGGAGACTTGTGTTTGAGAGCAGGACTCCAGGGACGTGCAGGGGTTTGTGTTCGGCTCTTTGTGACGAGGGAAGTGAACCGTCAGCTCTGAGTTTACATGCACCTGAGCAACAGCAGCAGCATCCACACACAGGTCTGAGCGGACCGCCTTGCTCCAGGCAAGGGAGCAGGGAATGCCATCTTAATGGTCGAATTATGCTCTAATGCGACTATTACAGATTTAATTCAACCGTTTCAGGCTGTAATGTGCATAAAAGATGAAACACAACATAAAAGTACCGTCCCTGGAACCTTGTCAATGGGCAAGTAGAAACAACCGACTAGGATTTTTCTTTTGCTGTGTGCAGAGAAACAGCCAAACCTTCACAATGCATCACTGTGCTGCGGGAAATATTACCAATTAAAATGCAGCACTGCATTATCATTACAAATGTGACAAGTTTTTCCCATGCGATCAGCCCAAACTCAACTTTTATGCTTTGTTAAAGGCCTTTTTACTGAAACTATCGAGAGCTCAGCAGCCAAATGTGCTAAAGTAATTAGTTGGTCCTAATATCTTTGGAAAAAAATAAAAACTTAAAACTAACACAGCTTTTTTTAAGCCGTTAAAGTAAAAACAAAAGATGTTAAAGTTAGATATTTAACGCAATATTAAGTGCATGGTTTGTTTCTCACTTTTTCAAAAAACAAAAAAGAAAAATTCCATTGACAAATGTATACTTTGCTCTGTGTCCTTAAAATAAGGATTACATTTTGGTTTTACAATAAAAAAACAACTTATTTTGCATTGTTTTATCTAGTAGGAGCATAGCACAAAGTTATTGAGCCATGTTTCGCTTTCTCATTGTATATGCCCATATTTTGTTAGTTTTACCATTTTTCAAAGACATTTAATAAATAAATCCTACTTTAAAAGCCTAATTCCTGTTTCAATACTGTTTTATGTTTGTCAGTATATTTACAGAACGTTGTTGTTACTAAGGTGGTAGTCGTAAATAAAATGTTTGACAACCTTTGCTCTGGAGGCATCATTCCAGATATGTTTTTGAAGATGTTGAACGAAGGTAATGCAGTTTCTACTCAGCCACTAATGTGTGTATGCTACCACCAAACCACACCTAAAGTTTGCACAATGTTGTTCAGGTTTCTGCAGTTGTGAACAACATTATGATCCACATACTTTCTGCAACACCTCATCTTTTAATGACATGATTGTTGAAAATAAAATAAAATAAAAAACAAACAAAAGAAATGTAGAGCCTGGGGTCATGCACTGACCTCACCGCATCCTTGCCTCTCTCTGCGTTGACCCTCCTGCTGCTGATCCTCCAAGCTGCCCTTATCTACTGGCAGTGCATACCGGACCCTGTTTGGGCTTTTCCCAGCACCAGAGAGCCCCTGAAGCCCCTCCAGGAGCCGGACCAGCAGCAGGTTTTCCGGCAGCTCCTCCACCGTCCTGACAGGGACAGGAGCTCCGCACTCGGGGCAGAACAGCTGGGACTGGGCCACCCCATGCCTCTGCAGGCAGTACAGGCAGAAGGTGTGCTGGCAGGGCAGCACCTTGGCAGAAGCGTCCAGCTGCTCAAAACACAAGGGGCATTCCAGGAGGGATATCAGAGCCACGTCCTCTGGCTCAGATGAGAACAGGGATCCAGGTCCATTTGAAACACTGTAATCCACCATGCTGCAGAGACAGGAGGGACAGGAGACACCATAAGCCACTTAAAATATCTCAAATACATAACATTAAGTTTTCAAGTCGAAATATGCCACATGGTCAAGTTTAATCAGGCGGATTCAGTGTAAGGAGTTTGCATCGCGTCAGCACTGCGTGTACTCAGGTGTCCTATCGCCTCACCTGGCTGCACAGGTGAGACAACAACAGGAAACATACGAACATATCCGCAAAATGAAACAAAAACAACCTCTGACTCTTACTTACGCGCTCATCTACGGCCTGTCACGGTGACTCCCCCCCACCACACCACCACCATCACCTCCCCACTTAACTCCGCTTTTAAAAACGGCGTATAGTTTTTCGCGGCGGCCGCCATGTGTGAAGCCGCAGGAGGAGCAGGAGGAGGAGGCGGCGGTGCGGCTCTCTGCCCCGGGGAGGAAGAGAAGGGAAGGGGAGGGAGGAGCTCGAACTCACCGACAGCTCGCCTCCCGTCTGCGGGTTTTTTGGTGGACGACGCGTCAACGCGGGACCCACCTGTGGAGCTTCCGCCCGAAACGAGCCGGCGAGGAGAGAACCGTCTCCCCGGGACAGGCTCACTCTCCAGGGGGGACTGTGTCGGGTTGCAGTCATGACGAGCTCGGTTAACCCTTGCACTGTAAAACAGGAACTGTGCAGGGTTTGAAATAGTAGCCATTGAGAGCTCTGATCACACATTTTTATTTCTCAGGCATGAACTCGCAGCTTATAGAGGAAGAGTCCCTTCAATTTCACTGAGGAACCTTCTGGAGATCAAATGCTTCTGGGATCATTCTTGTTGGCCCATACTTTTTTACTTTTATTATTATTTTTTTTTAAATAAACTACTCTCACTTTTTCAGCCACTCTATGCACCCCGGGTTTATTATGCCAAACATGCTCACACCCTCACCCACATGTTGTGCTAAAATCATATTGGCTGTTTGAACAAAGCCTACCTGAGTTGTATTTTTATTTCCTGTCTGCTGAGTCTGCAGTGGCATTTGAAGGGCAAGGCCGTGGACAACATACAATAAATGAGACTGGAAAGTGTCCTTACCATCACCCTAATCATTGGCTCCTTCCACAAATTCTCAGTCCGATCGAAGTCAAAACGTTTACCGTGTCTGTTCGAAATAAGCTTGTTGGTGAAATTAAAACAACCTTAGTCTGAGCATCAGGACCATAGACCATAACTAGTTCACTCAGTTCAAAACTTGCATGTGTTTACCTAATAGATCAGACACTCAGTACTAGATTAGCTTTTACATGAAACACTTTTTCCTCTTGCTTGATCTTTTTTTTTTTTTTTGATGACTGCTCTTGTGCAACACCTGGAAACATACTGGCAAAACAAAGGTCAGAGGTGCTGGCTGCAGTCGCCCTGCGCATTGGAAAATTAAAATCTACGGGGCCTACTTGCATACTGTACGTGGACTGCTGTATGTAAAATTCAAGTGCCGTTCCGTTCAGGAAAAATGATACTTAAATGTGTTCATATTAAGAGGCTGCACTGTTTGAAAACAGCAATGTTCAGTAATGGCTGTGTCGTAAAAACATTCTCCATTTCCTTTGGTGAGAGATACTATCAGAATATTTGTATATATTTACTGAAAACATTGGTTTAGTCAGCGTTATTCTCATTTTGTCCTGAGTTGTGTCTGGAGTGATCGGTTCATTTATATTTGTGACGTTTAGTAAAGGTTAAGAAGTGTCAAAAGACTTTAGGCCGTAAAGGAATCTATGGTGAGGCAAGAATTTCAATTCGTATCTCAGTTTTGTCCACACTGATCAAATATTGGTTAATTTTATTAAATAAATTTGTTATATTCCTATTATGAAATTCTTATATTGGCTCAGACTGTGGACATTTATCAAAGTATTATTTTATTAATAAATTGGAAATGAAAACAACTGAAAGATCTGTTACATCAGTCATTCCTAAACACACTTAATTGGTAAAGTGTACTTTCATAACTATTATTGATTGCTTTTGTGTGCTTTGGACTTTGAGTTTCTGTATCCACACAGTTTCACAGTCACAGTGACTAATGCACACAATAAGTCAGATTCTGTTCTCAGATGAAGACATGATTCCCTGACAACAGAAGCTAAAGTGGTGCTCACCAGCAACCACTGCTTCAAGTTCAGCTTTGGCAACTTTGACTGAAACATCAATGCTGTTGCTACGGCAGCTGAAGCATGAAATGCCACCGAATTAGTGACAAAATGTTGACGTCAAATCAATCAAGGTGGCATGGGAACTGTTTTCCTAACAACCAAAGGATCGTAGCTGTCAGGAAGTTTGAGTTCAACATTTTAGGGATGGAGGAGGGCAAAGCTTTCAATGCATGCATGCTTTTTTTCTGTTTTCCTGCATGGATTTTGTTGTCGCAGCCTCATCTGAGTACGCTGTGAGTGTTTCTGTTTTATTATTTGACGTATAAATGAACCGTTCCTGTCTAGACTTAGCAGACCATCTGGATGGAGCAGCAGAGGGGGAGGACCCCTGCCATCCTCAGGGGAGGCTAACTACCAGGTTGGAAGCAGCGGGAGGTCAGCATCCACAGGAGAGCTGGATGCCCTGAAAGAGTCAACAGGAAGAGAAAGCAGAGCATGTAGCAGCAGCAGCAGAAAGGCAGCAGTAGTTTATTTATTTCATTGACTTTTAAGTTATTAAATTTACACAAGACCTGCTTATTACAATCTAAAAACCATTCAAATGTGTAAAATGCAGTTGCACTGGTTTTGCTAGTTAAATTCCCACAGTTTGTTTTTGTGAGTGCAGCAGCTCCTTGAAATGATTGCGACATGATGATGATAAGAAAACTTTCACTGTTCAGTGACCCTGACAAATATTTTTGTTATCCTGGAGGAATTTATCTGTTATACTGTGAATAACTGATAGTGATTCAAGTAAATAAAAAATTTGTGTTTTTTTACCTCAAAAATAAAAGATGTTTAATAGTTGTTTCATTCAAATGATGATTAAAGCCAACTTTACATCATAACAGACTTTTAAAAAAAAATAAAAAAAATAAAAGTCACCCAATGACAGCACTGACGTGCGACACAATGGCGCCCTCTTCTGGGGAATTCACTGATCTGCCGCTTTCCAAACGAATCTCAATTGGAGAGTCAGAAATCAAAGCTGACCTCTTCCAGCACCTCTTCATCCTCTAACACGGTATTTAAGTTTTAGTTTCACTTGGAGACAGTTCACAAAGACAGAGGGACGTCCACCAGTTGAAGTCCTTCGTTTGAATTCAACTGTTTTTATTGTTTTCCTTTGGATTTCCAGTTGCACACTTCAAATCCCAAAACGCAAGTCTTGAGTCCCAGGGTTAAATAATTTATCCGTGCCGGCTGCGCACCGTAGGTTCAGAACATCGGCTTGAATTTTTCAAGCAAACATGAATCTTTCATGTTTTTCTTCACGTCAGCAGAAGTGGGGGGATTCTAAAAACGTACACATGGCTTTTACATCAAGTCTGAGAGCAACAGAGATGACTTATTCAAATGTTCACATCAGCTCTGGAACAGGACACTCCTCCTCCTCTGTGCAGGCCTCCCTCAGCGACTGCCGATTTAAGCTTTTAAAATATTTTTCCACACTGAAACTCAGTGTAATGCCTTCCTGTGCTGCAAATTGATTCTCTGATTTCCTTTCAGCGATAAAGAGGGTGCAGAGGAAGTGTGCGCATAAGTGCTTATCAGCTCCTCACAGTCTGATGGTCAGGCTGGCCTCTGCAGGGAAAGCCCCGTGTGCTGTGGGGTGAAGAAACAGGTCTGATGGCTCTGATATGACGCCTATATGATGCAGAGGGAAGGCTGTCCCCTGGTGTACATCTATGCAGGTTGCACAATTTCAGAATATTATGACTTGCCACAAGTTTCTTTTCTTTTTCTTTTTTTTTTTGCATATTGAAGACAGCCTCCTTCTCCTGCTTTCATGTTTTATTTAAAGTGCTGTCTTACTCAGAGCGAGATGCCAAGTCACCGCCTTTCCCTCTTTTTCGTCAGGCAAGGGGACTCTTTCTACCCCCTCACTCTGCTGCTATATTTGATCATTAGGTGCTTTTTTTTTTTTAAAAAAAGATGCTCCAGTGTGTGTGAGGAATGGCGCCTGCCGAAAGTTTTACCATTTTGATGATGCAACACAAACTTTGCTCTGCAATGTGAAAGGAAAAGAACAAACGATATTCAAGGTTTTCTTTTCAAATATGAAATCTGAAAAGTGTGGCTTGGACTTGTGTTTATTGCCGCCTGAGTCAATAATTCATGGAACCTGCTTTGTTTGGAGCTCCAGCTTCACTTGGTTGTGGGTATGCCTTCACATGGTTTGCACAAAGTAACTCAAGCTCAGTCCAACTGGACGGAGAACGTCCGTGAACATCAATTTTCAGCTGATAAAAATCAGGAAAGGTCTTAAGGCTATTAGAGCTTGAATTGACATATCGATATGTTGCCTAAAGCTCATTTATCTTTTAAGTTCTTATCACTAGAATTAGATTATTTGCTTTGGGTTGTTTATCTTTGTAAGCTCGGTGTATGGCAAATGTTTGTTACCATAGAATATTTTAAATTTAGTTTGATTGGTTTGATGCAGTTGTTCCTGGGTTATGCTGGATGAGATGTCCTGTACAGTCAAATATAATGCTTACAACTTGTCTTTTTGTAACGTAACAATTGATTGTTTAATGTAAAATAATCGACGTCGGGCTGATAGTTAGGTCATCTGCTTAATTGTGAAACATAGACTGATTTAAATATTATGTTATAATGACATCTAAAATAAGAAATGCTACATCATTGGATGACTCAGCTTCTGTTAAAACAGCAAAAAGTCTAATCTATTCCAATTTGTTATTTGATCCCAGCCCAGTGGTGCAGCTGGATCCCTGTCAACAACGTAGATCTCAAGATCCAATATGGCTGCTGATACCTGCAGTACAAAGCTGTTTATTTATTCTTATTGTGGGTTTATCGCATCCAGTCACTCGAAATACATGATGGTTCACAATTTCTGATGTTGCTAATCAGACTAGTTTGCCCGAACAATGGCCACACTTACCAAGAGATGTTATTTACAGACGCAAATTTCTGTTACACCGTCATCAACTTTAGTTTCAGAAAGGTCTTCCTAAATAAATCTATAAAGAGTTGTTGGAATGATAATAATAATAATAATAATAATAATAATAATAATAATAATAATAATAATAATAATAATAATAATAATAATAATAATAATAATAATAATAAAAGACAAATGTGGTTAAACCATTAATCCTTTGGCTGTGTAAGTTTGCTGGCTTGACTTCAACATTCATCTTTCACTGGTTATGTGCCAAAATACATCCAGTGGTACTTGTACCTCAGAGAACTTTAAATCCAAACCAGCCTAAGAAAATACCAGAAGTAAAAATTCAATATTCTTT